GAGCATCTTATCTTGGCTGGCTTTTCTGAGAGAGGAGTTTGGGGTTGTTTTGAATAAAAAAGATTTATTAAACACAGGAGCTGGTGGGAATCTTGTCTGAACCACACCAGACCAGCCACTGAAGCAATGCTGTGTTGACCAAGCAGGATTTCCTCTTCCAGAACGTGCAGGGAAGAAGGGAATGTGCAGGTACACACCTGGCTGGCAGCAAGCATGGAGAAATCCCAGCTGAGACTGTGCCCTCAGCCCCTGGCAGCCCCTTCCCACCTGGGCAAGGTGCAGCAGCACTGATCCAGCAGCACCTGCTCAACAGCAAGGTTGAGAATTGAGATTTTTTTGAGATTTTTTCAAGTAGGAACCCACCAACTGCCTCCTGTGTCACACACCTGCCTCCAGAAATGAAGTTTCACCTCTTTAACAAGTCAGAGTTGCCTCTTTGTCACCAATAAACTCATCAAAGGTCAGGGAAAGCCACAGAAATACAGTACAGGGATATCTGTGTCAAGGTTTGTACACCTGGAAGAACTCCAGGAAAGATGGGCATTGCACCCAGTGCAGCAGCATGAACCTGGTGTTTAAAAACAGCAACCAGAAAATGCCCTCCAGCTCCTCTTCCAGATTTAAGGGTCCAAAGGGCTCCTGGGGACCCAGAAAACATCTTTGCTACCAGTGACACCTCAGAGCTCCAGCCATGGCAAGGCCTCCAGCATCCTGGAGATCGCAGGGGCTGTACAGTGGGGGGAAAAGGAGGATGGACATCACATCTGGGGATCTCTGGGGATGGGCTGTGTGCCTCCTGAAAACCTGTGGCAGACTGGAGAGGCCCTTCCTGCCCTGCAAACCCACCCACAGCAGGTCCAGCTCAAGCCCAGTGCTGAGCTCCCAGCAGCTTTGCTCTCGCTCTGCTCCCTGGCTTTGGGGTTCTTTCAAGATTCTGGCATTTGAGACCTGCTTCTCTAAAAAAACCCGTTTGGGGCAATCCCAAGCCCTGTGCTGTGTGAACACAGAAAACTTCTGTGTGGAACATCCATCATCCTCAACACCTAGGCTGTTCAGGAAAGGTTTCCCAGAGCCTGTCTGGCCAAACAAAGATCTGAGCAGCAACCAAAGGCTTCTCATCTTCACAGAGGTGACAATTAAGCAGCAGAGAGAAGAGCCTGACTCTCAGCCTGCAGGTCTGTAGGGCTTTGAGGCACACAGGAGTCCCTGGCTCTCCTCCCTGAGCTGAAGCATCCAAGCTCAGGCTTCTCTCTAAGAAATTCCTGGGTCAGGCCAAGCTTTGTGGCCACCACGAGGGATGCAGGGACACCCCCACAGCCTGTGCTGCCACAGCTCCCCTCAGCACCCTCCCAGCACTTCCCATCCTCGTGCTCAGACAGCTCCACACTTACTTTGGGCTGACACAAACGACTTTAAAAGGGACAAAGTCATGGAGAAGGAGCAGGGAAAGGGAGGGATTTGCTGCGCGCCCTATTGTAATGTCATTAAAACAAAGGGATTAGAGCAGAAAGCAGAAAATCAAGGCCTGTGTGGAAGCACGGAGGAATCCTTTTAGAGGTTCCTAGCTGCAGACAGCACTGCCATTAATTCTGCATTGGAAAACGCTGGTGACATTAATATCTGCTATTAATACTGAGCTTTGACAGTATCTCATAAATTCAACCTGTCAATTACAATGGCACTGAAATGAAGGTGCTCTGAGGTCAAGGAGATGCCGTGTCCAAATGAGACTTATATTGCAGGGGAAAAGCAGCAAAAACAATCTTGAACAAAAGCATCAGATCCATATGTAGGAAAACCAAAGGGTGGTTTTAAATGTCATGTTTTTCAAAGTGAGAATTGATGCTGGAACCAAGTCTATAAACTGGCTGGCTGGACTTTCAGCTGCAGCTGAGGACAATCAATCAAAACAGCTCTGTGACTCTGAGAAAGTGAGAGAGAGAAAACACACACACACACACCCCATGGAATATGAGAGGGCAGATCATGAGCCATGCGAGGCCTCTTAAAATTACACTGTGAAGTAAAACATCCTCGTGTTTCACCCGCCACGAAATGTAACCTGAAAGGTTCCCCTGGGCACAGGGTGAGACACGGAGCCTGTCCTTCCCCGAGGGCCGGGCAGGCTCCTGGGGCAGGGCTGAGCACGGGGAGCCTCCTCCCCAAAGCCTGCAGGAGCTGGGAATCACAGCCTGGCTCCTCTGCGAGCCCCTGCGAGCCGAGGGCACAAGGACTGAGCACCCCACAAGCCCTGCCCTGTCTGTCACTGCCAGCCCAGGGCACTGTGCCAGCCCGTGGTGGCAGGGACAGGGGCAGCCCAGGCACTGCGGTGTCTTTGTGCGCCTCTGGGAAGGGTTGGCATGTCCCCAGCACCCCGTGCCACCAGCCACAGCCCTGCTCTGAGCACTGCCCTCCCCACCAGCCCTTCTGGGGATCCCTCCCCAAAATCTGCTCAGACCGTTCCAGCCTGCACCAGCACAGCCTGCAGCTGCTCAGCTGGCACAGCAGCATGCAGAGACACCTGCACAGCTGCAGGGACACCTGCACAGCTGCAGCAGCACCTGCACAGGTCCAGCATGGCAGAGCAGGGTTCCATGACATTGTGCACAGGCTCAGTGACACCTGCAGAGGTGCAGCGGCACCTGCACAGGCTCAGTGACATTGTGCACAGGCTCAGTGACACCTGCACAGCTGCAGTGACACCTGCACAGGTGGAGTGACATTGTGCACAGCTGCAGTGACACCTGCACAGCTGCAGTGACACCTGAACAGGCTGAGTGACACCTGGACAGGTGGAGTGACATTGTGCACAGGTTCCGTGACACCTGCACAGCTGCAGTGACACCTGCACAGCTGCAGTGACATTGTGCACAGCTGCAGTGACACCTGCACAGCTGCAGTGACACATGCAGATGTTCAGTGACACTTGCACAAGCTGAGTGACACCTGCACAGGCTCAGTGACACCTGAACAGGTGCAGTGACA